AACTTAAGAATTCATTTTAATAACAGAAATAACAAAAAAGTCTAATATTAAGTGTACTTTACCTTGGTTGCCTTGGCCTTTCATCCGCTATAAGTTCATGAAAAGAAGTATTGAAGATTTATTAAATATATTTCCAGTAATTTTTCATTATTTTAACCATATTTTATTATTATTTCACACTTTGTACCTGATCTGACACGCCTGCTGACATTGGCCACAATTTTATTGTCTTTTCAATACAGTATCTTAAGATTACACAAACTTATCTTAGCACACAAATATACTTCAACAGTCAATTTTACACCATAAACAATATATTGATTTTATTATTTACTAAGTTAGAAAATTATAGTTATTGATAATAAGTTATCATAAATGGCCGACATTAATGGGAGAGAATAAGAATACGTGGAGAAATTATTTCTTCACATTTGTTTTGTTATTTCTTAGTGTTGCCAGAGAAAGCATTAATTATTTAGATATTTGGGATCAAAATATGAATCTCAGTAGAGTATGATTTGGTATTCGCTTTTCGTTAAATCACTTGTTATTAATTAATTATATTTGTCATGAATTAATTTTAATTTAATGTGCGTAATTCAATGTCGACGATTGCGTGTACAATACATTCTATGATAAACTGTACTTCTGTGACACACTTATTTATCTATGTTGTACTTTATGTTGATGTTTATTTATCTATGGTAAATGCAAACTTTCGTTTTAACGTTTTAACAGTTTTCACGTTTTTAATGCACCCAAGTTTTTTATATTCTTGCATGAATTTTTCTTGTTTTTTTTTCTACTACAATACAAGCAAGCAATGGAGCAAATAAATATTTGATTTAATATTTCAAAAAATCAGTTTAGAGAAATAAAGGCAGTGTATATATTTTTCATTGTTTACATTTGATATTTCATGTAATGCTGCAATATAGCAGATAAATAGATAAACTTACAAAAATATATTTCGTAGAAATGAACCTAATTTATTAACAACTTCAAGCAAAAGTTCAAGCTTTCATAAAAAAAAAGAGTGCGCGTAAGGATCACACGCGATTGAAGTAAAACTTTTAATATTGTATGAGTAGGCAATTAAGATAAAAATAGAAAAAACATCATATTTGAATTTTAAAAATCATTTATTAATAATCACATAACATCAATAACACAGTTTAAAACAACATCGATAGATTAATTGCTATCATATTTCATATATGATATAATAGGTTTGTGATAACTAAAATGAGAGACATAAATTTTGCTTTGTAAACTATGTACATTTCTGGAGAAAACTGCATCAATAGTCGTGCCATATCTTGTGGTTGATTCAAATGGAGAATTATTCATTGTTAAATTAAATTTATTATTTAAAAAATCAATTAATGGTTGAGATTCTTCTGAACGAAAATTGACATTGAAATCTCCAGCAAGAATTAATGGTATATCGTTGTGATTAGTGTTTAAAAGTTTTGCACTCTCATAAAAAAATGAAGTAACTGCTGATGAAGAAATTTAATAATATTTGATATGTTTTTATTGGGAGAAATGTAAAGGACGACTATAATTAATGTTTGATTCTGTGTGTGTAATATCACCTACTTGTGTAATTTCATTAGGAATATCCAGTAATATTGTTGGCGCAAGAAACTGCATAGGAGTGGCATTATGAAGAGTATCTGAACATGAATGATAGACAGCTACACCACCTGCTCTTGAGTCCGATCGTTTGTATTGAGTAACGCAGTAATAGTTCTGAATATCAATTCGTTCTTCATTATTAATCCAAGTTTCCGAAAATAACAAAAACGTACAACGTTGTAGCACTTTATCTTGCAGATCAGGCAAATGAGCTCGTAAACTTTGGCAGTTAAAGGAAAACAATTAAATGTCGTTCAAACTTATTATCTCACTCAATTTTTCTTCTTGTGTTATTAATCTACAAGTTGAAAGTCTTTGGAATTCAGTTTTTAAGTCCATTAATCCTGCTGGCCGTTTTCTTCCATAATAAATTTTTTTGTCGTTGTTTTAGAAATGATGAACAATCCATTAATGTTGGTAACTCGTGATAATGCAACATATAGAAGCTGCTGATTATGTGTTTTATTGTATTCATATACAATTTTATCAAAAGTACCACCTTGTGATTTGTGTATTGTGAGTGCACAAGCAGACACTAAAGGAAAATGATTTCTTTTGACAAATATGATTTTATTTCTATTCATTGGAATAGATGAAGATTTCCTGAGAATCGGCACAGCTGTCCTACTGATATTAAGAGTTTGAATATGATGTGCAGCTTTCTTCTTATTTTGTTACCTATCTTACCAGGAAATTCAAACCATAAACGTAGAAGTTCATCATTATCGCCACGTTCTATGTACACTAATTTTCCTACACAACCATTAGCTAAGCCATCACTTACATCAATATTAGTTGTTATTATGTAAAATTTATTCAGAACTAAAATTATTTCATACGGCAAAGCCCCGGTATCAATAACCGATTTTTGTGAAACTGCTGACGAATGTATGATTGTTGATATGTCGCATGGCAACCTACACAAATATCCGTGGCAGTAGATATTATTTTGTCTTCAACGAGATTCAGTATAAATTTATTATATTCCATGATACATTTATTCTCTAAGAAAAGTCTTATTCCATGAGGACATAACATAAAAAACGTGATTCAATTAATGCAAGTTCATATAGGGTTTAGCGTTCGACTTACGCATGACATGACGGGAGTGGATACTCGCGACATCAGCGCTTACGGCGTCGTAGTGTTCAACTTCACGTTGGCGTTTTCGTTGCATTTGTACGGATTTACACCCGTGTCGCGCCTAAAAATTTTTACACCCATATCGCGCCTAAAGAAGTTTTACTTCAAAAACGTGATTCAATTAATGCAAGTTCATATAGGGTTTAGCGCTCGACTTACGCATGACATGACGGGAGTGGATACTCGCGACATCAGCGCTTACGGCGTCGTAGTGTTCAACTTCACGTTGGCGTTTTCGTTGCATTTGTACGGATTTACACCCGTGTAGCCTAAAGAAATTTTTACACCCATATCGCGCCTAAAGAAGTTTTACTTCAAAATCCAAATTTCCAATTTTATGTTTTTAAATCATTTAAGATTAAAATTGGACAAAGTAAGTAAGTGCTATAAGTAGTGTTTATATTATCGAAAATTTGATATTTTGCCCACGTTCTCAAAAAATGGCAGAATTGATTTCAAAATTTTAAAGGCTATTCCATGATACTCGTAAATAACTCGTGTTAGTTTTGCGAAACGATTGGCCAAGCCGTTTTTTTCATATTTCTTTAGAATTGCCGAAGTGAAAAACTTTTCTTCCAATTTTAGCTAAATATCCTAAAGCGATTTTGAATATTTGAAAACTTTTTTAAAAAATATCACTTACTCTTCTTTTATCTATGCGTGCAGATAAGTTTTCTTCGTAATCAAATCTTCGTAAATAAATGTTTCGAATAAAACTTCACATGGCGATAGAAAATATGAAAATGTGATCTAAATCTCAACAAACAAGTTGTTGAATTATAAAATTTCAATATAGGTTTGAATAATGAGCTGTGCAAAATTTATTACATACTTGTTCACTATATGTAGACTATAATTTAATAAAATTCGATTGCATATATTCTTAAAAGTTCTTATATCTTTAATCCGTTTGAAAGTCAGAAATCGTATTGATTAGTTTTGAACGATAGATGGCTCTATACCACTATTAGAACTTTGGAATTTTCGGTATATCTATATATAAACAAGTTGATCCTATGCATAGTTCTCAGTATAGAAGTCTTTTTACATCCGGCTGTCGTAGAGGTAGGTTAATGTTTCATTTATTTATTGTATAAAATCACTCTTAATATAATTTAATAAATTGTTACTTTATTATTAGCAGGTAGAACCACGTAAGACTAACAAAATGGTTGCCCAAAAGAAACAAGTATGTATTTACCTATTTGACACGTGTTCCATAACCAAACCAAACCAAACCAAACTTATTGCTAACACGTTTTTTATTTTGTGTTTAGAAAAAGGCTTTGGAGTCCATCAACTCCCGATTGGCTTTGGTGATGAAATCGGGAAAATACTGTTTGGGTTACAAGCAAACGTTGAAGACCCTCCGTCAAGGAAAAGCTAAGTTGGTGATCATCGCCAACAATACCCCTCCATTAAGGTGAGACTATTGAGAAGTAGTGTTTCCCACAATTAAAATAATTTATAACACAATCATATGGAGTCTTGTGAGAGACTACGAAGTATGGTTATCCGCAGCTTAAATGCATAGCCTTAAAGCTTGCTAAGGGAAACCTATGGAGTAGTCTCGACAAATTACGCTTTGTGATATGTAAGTAATCAATTTACATTAGTTCATAAGAGTTTTGTTTCGTTTCTTTGAAATTCATATCTTGCTCGATATTTTACTAAAATTCATTGAACCTTCGAGAAGCTTGGCTTTGAGGTTGCTTAGGACAGCTACAGGAAGTATTAATCATTAATTCATTATAAATTAAGCAATGAACGATTTTTTGAAGCAATCCGTTTATAATAATATAATTAGGAATAATTACATTGTTTTAGCGATCGGTTTATAATTTAACAATTAAGATCATTACATCGTTTTTGTTACCTGAGATTTACTTATCCATTTTATTATTATAAATAGGAAATCTGAGATTGAGTACTACGCTATGTTGGCTAAGACAGGTGTGCATCATTACACTGGAAACAATATTGAATTGGGAACAGCCTGTGGTAAATATTTCCGAGTGTGCACATTGTCAATCACCGATCCAGGAGATTCTGATATTATCAGAACATTGCCAGAAGCACAACAACAATAATTTATATTATAAATAAACAAAAATAATATAAAAAAGGCTTTTTATTTATCAACCAAATATATTTTTAAGTACTTAGATTGAAATTACAGAATCACCAATTACCTTATTCAACCACATAATAATAATTTATACATTTTTTTTATTTCCACTCCCCAATATTTTCCTTCTTTGTGTGAACATATGCAAGTACATTTGTGGAAACAATGGTATGTACAAAAACATAATGAAAAGTAAGAAGTAATAATAGCTAAAAGTAAAGTTGTACTTATTTGGCATCTCAATTGACCACATCTTGTGTTGTTTAACGTAACTTTGGGCATAATAGAAGCATAGCAATTCTCCTGTTACCCCAATTGGATATAAAGCAATAAATGTAGTATATCTGAAAAAAATATAAAATGTATTCCATGTTATGTCTCCATAAATAAGCTTATTGATAAATCATTTAATGAAATTATTATTTCTTGGCATAATCTAGAGTTAAAAATGTTTGTGAATTCTTTACTATTCTTAAATTTTTAATTTTTATGTACATAAGGTAAATATGGAATAATTGTATGTCAATAAGATGTTCTGTTTGGGTGCCTACCTGAGCCACACCAACAAATGTGGTACTACATTCAAAATATTCATAGCATAATATCCATATCGAATGATTTCAGTGATTGACCATGCTAACAAGGCAAGGGGTAATCCTGGTGAAACTTGTGCTGTCGGTGTTGCCATAACTACTCCACAAACAACCATTACTCTTGAGAGCACTTGGAATGTTGTTATAATTGGATTACTTGGAACTAGCCCCGTGGATGCATGGATAATCTAAAAACAATAAACATGGGTAACAATTTTGATTTATTATTGGGACTGAAGCCAAATTTTAATTTTAATATATTTATATATTTTGCTCTTTATTGCAATTATCATCTAACAGTGCGCATACAGTGCAGTTCTTTATACTCAATTACAAGTTAATTTACAGAGTTATACTCTTTCATAAAAATACTAATAATGTAAAATGTTTTTTTTTCATATATGAAATAAGTTTTGGTGATAATAATTAAGATGTTAAATGCAATAATTGCAACTCACACACTAACCCAAACTCCAAGTTGAATTTAAATATAGATATGAGATGTATCTTATTATATTATGAGAAAGGTAAAATTGTAAATCAAAGAAGAGTTTAGGGCAAAATATATTATTTTTATATATTTAATAGATTATAAGAATTCTTATAACATTTTGGATAAATCAAACTTTAGTTTAGCTATATTGAACTTATGTGTTTATAAAAACTTATTTTGAACATTAATATGTATTTAGTTCTAAATTAATTTTAATATTTTTCACCTAATGAAAGTAGGACAGTAGTCAAAACTTATGGATTTTACATATTTTTTTACTTCCCGAAGGGGAAGTTTGTTTTTATCAAAACATCCGATTCGCTAATTTTATGTTTATTTACGTTTTCTCGACGTTCATTCTGAATAAAATGAGACCAAATTTGGAAAATGTATGTGTGTTTGTGTGTGTGTGAACAGATTTTTTGCCGTAGATCGACGTTTTCTCAAAAACGGCTGGACCGATTTCAAAAATTTAAAAGCCATTCAAAATGTATCGCGATGAGGACTATCGTTTGTCAGTTTTGCGTTTCGATCAGCCGAACCGTTTCTTTGTAAATCGCAGAAAAGTGAAAAGTTCGAAAGATATTGGTTGAAAAGATACTGATTAGTTTTTGGTAAAGATCGGCCGGGCCGTTTTCTTGTGATGAAGTGTTAAAATTTTTTTTTCGACAATTATTAGTATTTTTTTTGACTGTAGATACCATAGTCTTATATATCATACTAAAATATTACGGCCCTACGACAAGTCGTTTAATTTTACGTTTATAGACGTAAAATTTTTACGTCTTATAGAACTTACTAAAATATTACGGCCTTACGACAAGTAGTTTAATCTTAAAAATTCATTAAAGTTTGAGAAAATGAGTATACTATAGTTTTTTTGACGTTTGTTAAAATTAAAATTAGACGATTTTCTTGGTATGACGATAGAGTACTTGGTCTTAATGAATATACGAAACTATTAAAGTCTTACGGAAACTGGTTCAATTATAAAAATTGTTGATTTTTGAAAATTTGCTTTAAAAAATACTCCGAGTTAATGTGTTTGTTCCTTTTAAATTATGTGTAATAAATCCATTCGGAATACTCGTAATCACTCATAAATTAATTTATTATTAATCGATTATTTAAACATATCGGGAAGTTCATGTAACTTGCCTCAAGGCAAAATACCAATACCAACTAGTTTAAATATGCATTTAAATAAATTGATTAGAAAGAAATAATTTACAATGAAAATGTAAATTCAGAAAAAACTTAATTGATGATTCAGAAAATGAGGAATAAGACCAGAAAGGCCGGTATATAAAATCGTCAGATCCAAAGTTTACCAGAAATCTTAGGAGTATTGTATATTATATTATATTTGATTGCATATCATTCTGGACTTCAATATTGTTACTCCCAAGAGAGTTTCTGAAGATATACAAAACAAACCTCCATAACCGCAGCATTTTGAAAAATAAATACTGTATTTTTAACTGTTTCCCACAAGCCAATGCTGCTTTTATGTAAGTGGTAGTATGCTAGTTGATATAATAGGTAGCTCCATCTGTAAAGAGAAAACTTCCGTTAAATATGTCATGCAAATGTCATTTTAGCACAAAATCACGAATATTCCTTTTTTCTAAATATAATACATTTCTGAATGAAACTTTAATTAATTAACATATGACCATTTTCAAAATTTTATTATTCTATAGTACTCACCCTAACACTAGTATGAGGTTATAGGAAAATAAATAGGTTTTAACCAAAAACGATTGCTTTTTTTCAGGTTTACTTGCTTTTGCACTTTTTGTAGGATTGTTTGCCATTTTATGATATTTTCAGTACTATTTTTTAATAAATTAATTGAACTTCCTAGACAATTGTTTATGAAGACGTTAACTAAGCATTTTAATTATTTATTCATTGACTAGCAAAGTTCACCAAAGCGTTCCATGCACTTAGCATTTGCAGCGGTTCACAAACTGTGTTGCACATCAGAACATGATAAGAATCATATATGTATGAACATTCACTACTATCACTACATAAAAATATTAAATTCTTAATATTCAATCTCATAAAAATATAAAGTCAAACTATTTTGTGCATGGCATCGTGCCTTAGGCAAATTGCTGGAACTTCCCGTACCGTGATGAAATATTCGAGGAATATTAAATGTCTTCAAATAGATTATTATAAATACTGTAACTTATATATGTTTACAGAAAAATAATAAACAAAACTTAAGCAATGAATTTAAAATGAAGGACATTTTCTAATATTTATAAGAAATATATAAACTTAATTGCAAAGTTAAAATGATTTATTTAAAGTATATAAATGAGCTCTAGAATTTTAGCTAGAATTAAGATTGAAATTTGAATTATTTTAGTTATTAAAAAAATATTTTTTGGAAATTAAAACAAACAAAAAAATCCGAAAGCAATCATTTTGTCAACACAAGCAGAATTTTTTTTTGAAACATTCAAATCGGATGCTTAATTCTCTCAAAAACAGCCGGACCTGCCTTTGCCAGAAACCATAACTACTTCTACCCGGTATTTCAAATTGAATGTTTTTTGGTTCATTCAAATCGGATGATCCGTTCTCTCAAAAAATCAATTTCTATTTTCTGCACTTTTTGCTCCGTATCTCCGAAACGGCTGGACCTGCCTTGCCAAAAAATAATCAGCACATTTCGCTCTCAATATGAATCGAATATTTTTTGACTCATTCAAATCGGTTGATCCGTGCGCCCGAAAACGTGGACAAAAATTGAATCTAATAAACACATAGTAATCTCAAAAATTCGAATATAAAAATGTTTGCAGTGACTTTACGTTTCAAAAGTTTTTGAACATTCTGGCAAACCTTAGAAAATAAAAATGTATGTATTTGTATTTGTGTGTGCTTGCATGTGTGTATACAATTTTTTGTCCACGATTTCGGGCGCACGAATCAACCGTTTTAAATACGGGAAGTTACAGCAATTTGCCTTAAGGCACGATGTACCACTAGTTAACTTCCCGTAGGGTAAGTTATTGTTATCGTTCAAAAATCGAAATTGAAAATTTTATCATTTCTCGACGTTTTGAAGGTTTCTGAACATTTTGGCATACCTCAGAAAAAATGGATGTGTGTGTGTGTTTTGTGTGTCCGCATTTTTTCGTTCACGATTTCGGGCGCACTGATCAACCGATTTGAATGGTTTAAAAAATATTCGATCCCTATTGATAGGGAGATGTGCTGATTAGTTTTTGGCAAAGGCAGGTCCAGCAGTTACGGAGATAATGAGAAAAGAGTGCAGAAAATAGAAATCAAGTTTTTGAGAGAACGGAGCATCGGATTTGAATCATCTAAAAAACATTCAATTAGCAATGATTGGGAGAAGTGGTTATTAGTTTTTGGCAAAAGCAGGCCCAGCCGTTGCGAAGATACAGGGATAAATGTGCAAAAAATGGCAGTTTTTGAGAGAACTAAGCGTTCAATTTGAATGATTCAAAGAACTTTCTGCTTGTTTTAACAAAATAATTGATTTTGGAAAAAAAATTTGTATATCTAAAATAATTCAGATTTTATTCTTAATTCTGACTAACGTTTCCAATATACTTTAAACAAATAATTTCCACTTTGAAATTCAGTTTATATCATTCTTATAAATATTTAACGATATTATAGAATTATAACAATCTGTTTGAAAACATTTAATATTCCTCGACATTTCGTTACGGTACGGGAAGTTCCAGCAATTTGTCTTAGCAAGATGTTAATGCGCCCCACTAGTTTTTATGAAATATGGTAAACCTAAACAATCTAATTATTTTGTGAATACAAATGATAGAAATGCAGATTTTTCAAAATCCTATAATGAATGAGATCGTAAATGCTTGTAATTATACTATTGGTACATAAAGATCAACAATCCAATTCCAATGGTTGACAACAAAATTATTTTCTTTGTTCCTACATAGTACTGAATGACATTTGGAATTAGAATGCCCCAAAATTATTGTTAGAGTTCCAATGTTTTTTCATATTTAATTTTAAAGTTTTAAATTTTAAGATAGATCCTGATATTAACATGTTATACAACAAATCTGACTAGACAATAGGAATTTTGCATTCCATGATCCATTTCTTGCAACAACTGCTACTTTATCTTCTAAAGTATGCCTAATTGTTAAGAAACGTTTGATACGTAAAGATAGGCAAAGTTTTCATATTCGTTTTTCCAACGATTACTATAACTTAACTATGCAAAGTTTCACTTGCAAAGTTAAAAACATTTGTTTCGTATACCATAATATTATTAATAATAAAAATAATTTAGTTATTCGTTATAAAAAAATATTCTTCTTATTCAAAGAACTACTAGGTTAATATACAATCTCAGTATAACACCAATTTTTCATGTTTCTAATCCACTTGCTGGAATTTGTTTTTATATGATGTTTTGTTCATATTGTTGATTATAACGAACAGTGATATTATGATACTTTGCAGAAAGAGTTAAATATTTGACAAGCACAGGTGAAATTGAAAACCTGTTTTACGTGGAATTTACGTGAAGCGTCAACGTTTTGATTTTAAAGTGATTTCACTAAATCAATATAAAAGTTTCTTTCGTCATATTTTAAGTTAATTATATAAAATGAAAAAATCAATTATCATTGAGCAAACTCGAATGAGGGAAGTGCAATTGGTTTTCTTTGGCCATATTAGACCGCATTGGCCGAAAGCAGTAGGAAACACATTTTTAATTTGTATATTCAAGTAAAAAATCACAACTGTATGATAGCAGAATAGAAAAGACCACGATTCAGAATTACTTGAAACGTCGAGTAAATATTAAATTAGCGAATCGGATTTGCTGGCAAAATTATAAACCTCTCATTCGGGAAGTTAAAACAAAATCCGAACCGAAAATTCTGACTAATTCGGAAAATTTCGTTATTCTCAAATCAGATATATATATATATATATATATATATATAAATCGATACATTTTATTACTTGTTGATAAACCTAATATTATCAAATATCGGGAAGTTCATAAATACCTCAAAGCATTATGTGCATAATATTCATTTAACAATATTTGTGGCAAATAATATTTTTCTTTTCTAGCCATCTTGTTGACTTTGTTTCAAATGAATGTCTCTATGTTTCAAATCTTTTTATTAAAATTCTTTTTTAAATTTAATAATTAAATTACTTATATGTACAGAATAATTGAAGTTAAAGTAAAAATTACGAAGTCTGCACATGACTTCCAATTCTCTCACAATCAGAGAAAAATGCTATAATTTTAATTATATTCTATGGTTGTTGAAGAAAAAATCGTATGAAAGTAAATATCAAATATTTAAAACATGTTATATTGCATTATTACGATGTCATGCGTCTGTATTGTTAAAAATGCATGCTTCAATTCACACAAACAATGTTAAAACAAACGAAATATTATGGACAAAATATTGAATGCAACTCTAAGATTCCCTTTAAGAACTTTGAAATTTATTCAAATATTTTCATATAATTCAAACGCTTTACTATTAATTTCATTTTTTTCTTATTTATTAGTATTGTATTTTAATTCCAATATTAATACATTTTCACTAAAATTTTGAACTACCCGAAATTAAAGTTTGTTTTAATAAAAAAATCCGTTTGCTAATTTCATGTTTTCTCGACGTTTCAAGCTATTCTGAGTCAAACGAGACCAAATTTGGAAAAAGTATATGCGCCTGTGTGTGTGTATGTGAACAGATTTTTAACTTTAAATCGACGTTTTCTCAAAAACGGCTTGACTGATTTCAAAAATTTAGAAGTCGTTCGATGTTTAGTTTTGCGCGAGCCGTTTCTTTGTAAGTAGCAAAAAAATGATTTTTGTCCACGTTTTAGCCCGCAATTATAAATCGATTTTAAAAACTCAAAAGATATTATTTCGGAATCCGCTTTATTATTTTTTGGCAAAGATTTGCTAGCCCAAGTTCTTGTAATTAACTATTAAAAATTATTTTCGACGATTTTTATGATTTTTTTTGACGATAAATATCATGGTCTTCTAGATCATACTAAAATATCACGGTACTACGACTAGTCGTTTAATTTAACTAGTTGGTAATGGTATTTTGCCTTGAGGCAAGTTTCATGAACTTCCTGATTTGTGTAAATAATCGACTTAATCCATGATAGATAAATTAATTTATGAGTAGTTAAAAGTATTCGAAGTGGATTTATTACATACTAGCTGACCCGGCAAACGTTGTTTTGCTAAATAGGGTATATTCTAAACCATTTCTAGAGAATCAAAAATATTAATACTTTAAGTGCATAAGGATGTGTTGTTTGAATGCTGTATACAATTAGGTATTATAAAAATATAATAAATAAACCCCATTAGTTTGTCTATATTTTGTCAATACAATCAAACTGCAAGTTTTATACACTTTCTATAGAAAACATCGTATAATCCAATCCGAGTCTTTTCTGGTCTTTCGGCTTATTAATTACGTTTCAAGATTTTCAGATTCTTTTTGGATTCTGGATTTTGTGTATAATTGTAAATAATACTACTGAGCTTATACAAAATTTTCAAATTTTTGCGAGGAGAGATAAAAAATGAATTAAGTATTTCTTCTTTGACCTGCTTTTTGAAAAGTTTCAAGTTACATTCGATGAATTAAAGTAAATTTAATAAAAAGTATATATGTAGAACAGGGCGAGACACAAAGGTCCAATTTGACTTTGAGCAAATATAAACTATATTGTGAAAACCATAACAGATCAAACGAACAATTATCTGACTACGTTCAGTAAACTGACCTCTACTTCATCATTGTAGAAATGTGCTTTTTTGATGTCTTCCAAAAATTTGTTATCTAGACCTTTTTATCCTATATGCGGGGTA